ACTGTGAACTTGAAATAACCGCCAAAACTGGTACCCATAAACACGGTCGGCGGAACCCTATTGTTTACCTTGACAACAGGCTTTGTAGTCTAGCGCAGTATTCACGCTCGAATAAACACAATTGTTCTATCTTTGTTGTCGAGAACCGTTTGTTGCTATGGCGACAGTCGAAGCGGTCAACAGCCAAAATGTTGAGTGTTTGTTAAAGACGATGATATCAGAAACAAGGATGAGGATTTTTTAAAGGAAGAGGATATATTCTTTGCTTTAAATTGCGTTATAAACTGTGATCACCTTATAGGCTGTCTCTTATACACATCTAGATGTTTTGGACAGGTAGCATCGGTGTTGATTAAACTGTTAGCTGTAGCGGGAAGTTGATTATTCCTAATTAAAGATTTGATAGTCTGTTTTACAGTTGCTATATCACTAGAAGTCGGATCATCTGGAAGTGGCTGATAAGTAGCTTGATTAGATAATTGACGTTCTCCCTCTGAAGTATACAAATCTCTTCTCCAAACAACTGTAGCTCCACCTTTATCTGCTCGCTTAATAACATAATCGTGATTATTTCTCAAAGTTCGTAGCGCCAACAACTCTCTAGTAGACATATTACGTGATTTGATCCGATGTTTCATATTAAATTGTCCAATATCATGTCTGCATTTCTAGATATACAAATCCAAAGAATTAAATTTACCAGGAGCAGGAGTCCAATTAGATTTTTTTCGATTGAGTTGTTGGAATTCATCCTTGTTGAGTGTTGTAGAACTCTTATCACGAAACTCTGCTTTAAGTCTATAATATTGTTCCAGATCAGATTTGACATTAAATTCATCAATACATTTCTGTTGAGGTATGAATGACAGGCCTTTAGATAAAACTGACCTCTCATCATCCGTTAGAAGTAAATCTTCGGGAATGGTATCCACAAGTTTGGATGTGTCAACATTTCTCTGAGTAGATGCAGTGATATTCACTGGGCGATCTCTTTTCAGTGAATCCAATTTCTTCTGTTTTCCTAACAAAAGACAGTCATAATACCATAGGTTTAACTCATGGACAATACCACGTATGTGATAGAAATCAAGAGTTGTACAAGCACCTTGTAGGTTGTTGCGATGAC